GAAGGATGCATGAGGATCTGCCACAGTAATTCACGGCATATATTACTTTTAAAAGACCCAGTCTATGTACCGTCAATACATGAAAGCATTTATTTCTAAGGTATGAAGCTAAATTAGACCGTCATGTGCAGTGCATACATGTCCTGGGCTATAAACCTTAGAAAACGATGTAAATAAAACATTTCAGAGAGGAGATGAAAATAAGACACTCCCCTCAAATGAGAGTCACTGCACAGCATGGAGCACAGATGTGATAAGTCCTGGCTGTGACATCAAACAGCTTTGTAAAGAAGTCCTACATTGCATGTGTTTTAGGGGTATAACTTCCAACATGTAGGAATATTCTCACCCAAGATAAATCACAGAAAACACTCTTGAATAGAGCTGCTGTCTAGAAAGCAGCCAGTAATATCCAGCGTATGAAATCAGGAAGCTGACAATAGTAGTTATTTCATTAGAATGGAGAAGGAGTTCTGAAGCGTATTGTATTCTGTAAGATTTCATTCTGAACACCTAGGTAGGTTTGAGTGTCTAATTGGTTAATTATATGTAATTTCAGTAGGCACGGATGTTTCATTTCAGACTTTCCTAGTTCCTACATTTTGCTGTCAAGTGCTAATGGATGTTGAGGGGGGAAAAAATATGCCCTAAGCAAACTGCTCTGTAAAAAACTAAGTCAATGAAGAGACCTTTCTAAGTCTGGGAGTGCTGCAGGATAGCTCTAATTACTGGATCCCTGACAACCAGTGACCAAGTGAGAGTGTTTGTGTTCATTTTTATCAGAGTTCCTTGGTGCTTTTATCACAGCAACTATGGATGGAAAAAGTATTAGTCTTCACCACAGAAGGAAGATGAATACAAAGCACAGTTGATCCATCATTTAAGAGAAACCCTGAGAGCTGAAAAGTTAGGCAATAATAGGACAAAAAAACAGAAGTCGCAGTTTTCAGTTGAGAATGACAGGAGATTTCACGGGCTGTTTGTATTCGAGTTTGTGTTTTCTTGCTGTACCTCAACGTTTTTCCTCTCTCTTAGTTTTACCCCCAGCTATGCTACTCCTTTTGCAAAACTTTTCAGCAGAGGCGTATGCTAGCGTTACCATCTACTGGCTAAACCTGGAATTGTCTAGAGGACCAGCCAAAAGGAGTGGGCAGCAATCACTCCGTCACAGCAGCTCTGCCGTGGGAAAGGGTGGCTGAGGCTGCCCATGGCCTCTGCCCGCTGCGGGGTCCCGTCCCAGGGCAGAGGCCGGAGTCAGCACGGGGAAGGCATTGGGGGAGAGGCTGCAGTGGGATGCAGTTTGGGATTAACCATTGCCTTCCTGCCTGGGCTCTTCCCGTTAGGGTGAGAGAGAGCTCAGCAAATCTCTATCTGGCCCTCCCAAAGCAGAATTTTATTTGATTATTGCTACCCAAAATTTCTTTCAATATCTGACTGCCAATTCTAGTTCATATAGTTTGGGGGATTTTTGGCTTTTTAATCACAATATGTAACAGGAAAGAAATTTCTTGTCTGACCATCTGTCTGCCCATCTATCCTGGCATAAATAAAAGTGGACACAAGCTCCTAACCGCGTGCAGAAGTCAGGCAACCATCTCTTTTTTTCATTCCTCAGGAAAAGAAGATCTCTCTGTACTTGCTGAAACTCTACTGAGGACGTTGCACGTAACAGTCACCCTTTAATCCAGGCTAAACACGCAAAACAGTCAAGATCATTTTTATGGAATGAGATAACTGCGAAGAGAGAGCATGTGTAAAACTACTTCAGAAATTGAGCTGAGGGCATTTTCACTAGATATTTGGGGGGATTAAGCTGTCTGATTATATAAGCCAAGCACAGAGAAACATCAGAGAAATACTACAGGGCACGCAAAGAAAGTAGCTAGGAAGCACTAGATAGGTCTGGTTTTTGTGTATGTGTTTTGTTTTTTTTTTTTTGTAAAATACTTTATTTATGAATAGAATCACGGTATTTTGCTCACCCATCTTCTGTCTGAGGAGTGGCTAAAGAGGTTGGGAGCCTTTCCACTGGGAAAAGACAGAGGACGTGAGGGAGGCATATGACAGAGGCCTATCAAGGAAGATGGTATCAAGGCTGCAGTAAGGAATGATTGTTCATTTTCTCATTCAATATAGGAGCTAGCAAACATCAGATGATGTTACCCGAGAGCACCATCAGAACAAAGCAGGGGAACTAACCATGCACAAAATGCATAGGCGTGCGGTAGATCTCTTCTCTACAGCATGCCATGTAGGCTGAACATCTACCTGCAGCCAAGGAGAGAGGATGAGGACGGCCCACCCTTGCAGACTGCTGCATCCTAAAAAATTGTCCCCCAGCTCCTCAACGCACTGAGCTGCACCACTTAGCCCAGGGGAGCATCAGGGGAAGAATTGCCACATACTTGCTCAGGGAACCAGCGGAGACAGGCCCTTGAGCTGATGCAGAAGGGTCAGGGTTATGCTCTTATGTTCCAAGAAACTATTCACGAGAAACTATCAGTAAGTTCAGGTAAAATTAGACAGTCTTACTGGAAAAAAAAAGGGAAAAGGCAGAGGGCTTAGATTCACCAAAAATAAGGAGAAACTCTTTCCAAAGTACCAGAAAGACCTTCACTGAACACCTTCTTCTCTCTGAAGAGATTTGCATTTGCTTCTATTACCTCTAAAGAAAATGTCCCAATATGCTGGTTGGCAGATAATATTTTTCACATGCTTTATTTTGCACCAGCAAGAAAAATAAGCAATTCATTGGATTTGGATTGAACTGTTTGAGGTTGATTTTGTTTTTTCCTAGCCTCAGAAACTGTAGAAGTAATTGTAGTCTAGTACAGAGAAAAAAAAGCTATTTCCTAACCTTTGCTCCCTAAGGAAGAATTTTTGGATAGGGTGTCTGGATGACTACAAAAATGACTGGGAGCTATGAGCAAAGAAACGATTTCCTGCAGTTGCCTTCCCAGCGCTCAATGAGCAAAAACAATACGCTGTTATTCCATGGGCCTTAAGAGCACTTACCACATTTTCTGTGGGATGAAATAAAGGATTTAACAACTATCAGAAAGTCAGAATATGCACCTAACATTCACTAGGGTCTAATTAGCTCGGGAGCAGAAATACATTTGTTGCATGTTCTGAAGCCATGACAATGTGCGCTGTTACTACTGAAAGGAAAGTCTATAGTTCTCTCTGAAAAGACTTGAAAGGACAGAAGTACCACCTACCAGCTTATAGGAAAAATAAAATATAAACAGTAGAAAGAAACAAATCATTTGTCAGCCTCAGTCCTCACGCTCCTCAGAACGGCACAAAACTGGAGTCGTGTGCAGAGGTGACTCACCTTCAGGGAGAGCGAAGCAGTCACGAGAAGCTTCATTCCTACTAGCAGTTTGCAAGATAATCACTTCTTAGTTTAGGATAACTATTTAATCAAAGGCAAAACCTACACAATTCACATTCTCCAAAATAAGTTAATAAAAAGTGCATTTTAAAAGAATGAGACAATCCTATATTTACCATAGTCATAACTTTTTTACAGGCTCTATGTGAACCTTTGGGATTTAGAGACAAAGAGCTGTTTTAACTGTTATCGCTGTACTTTTCAGACCTCAGAAAGAACAGCTCTAGGGATTTCAAAAGCCCCAGGCTCAGCACAGATTCCACAGTTTAATTTGTGAAGTGAGACAGCCGACAGATTATAAACTCAATTTTACTTCACAGAAGCTAAGGCCATGAATCTAGTCCCATGTCTCTTGAATCAGTGATGATTAATGAGTTTCAAGCCCTATAAAAAAACGCAAAGGCCAGTAGTTCAGAAAGTAAAGGCTTCATCTAGCACAGAGAAGAAGCAAAATCTTGTTGCATAGTGGCATGACCAGGGCGCTGCCCAGTTGTGCTACTGTAGCACTTAGTGCTAGAGTAAGGTTTGCCATGTTAAATGGGGATATGACAATTTAAAACATTTCCCTTCACAGCAGCAGTTCACTGCTGTTATTTTAAAGAAAAGCGGATTCCCCAGGGCATCCTCGTGAGCATTTCTGCATTAAATGTTGCCTATGTGCATGAAAGTAAGCATCCCTTGGAGCAGTAAGCTGAGCAATGTACCAAGGAATGACAAATAACAACTCACTATTCAGAGAAATAACTCCTGGGAACTCTTACTCGAAGCCAGCAGGGTTCTGGCTGGGACTGCAGGGCAAGGCAGTCTCCATTTTGACAGATACAGTGTACGTGTTAAGCAAGAAAAAGCGGCTTTAAAAGTCTCAAATCTTGGATCTGTGGCTCTCAAGAGCATGCGTCTGAGGGGAATTCACTACATATTCCGTGTTTAAAGATAGGAGCATTCTCTTTTCTCGCTTCTAGCACCACTAATTTGCTATTTTGCAGCTGATCAATGCTGTTTTGCTAATCGAGTAAAGCAAAATGTATTTACTACCACCCTGGGACTCTGGTGCTTACTACCACCCCTCAGCAAATCAAAAGAGGATTTACTTACTTGAGTTAGTTGTTTTGTTTTGTTAATGCATTAGCTGTTTAGTTCAACAGTTTTCATAAGCAGCCCTGCATCCAGCAGAAACAATATCTTGAAAACTAGCAATTTGCCAGAACTGCCCTCTCTCTTTGAACTGGTCTCTGCGGTCAGAGACCCCCAGAGATGCATCTAAAGGAGAGGGAATTCCTGTTCTCCCACATCTCTCCAGCCCTTTCAGTGCACCTGCTCGATGCTGATGGACACCCCTTGGGCTTCAGATCGTACAGGGATTTCCACAAGCTTGCTTCCAGTTAAAAGTGTTCCTACTGGGCCTACAAAGGCACCCAGATCACTACACATGCCTCTTCTTTTAAGTTATGTCCGGGATGATGGAAGAAAAGTTAGTGCCCTTGCTGAGCAGGCAGAAGAAAAAAGGCAGGTAGTATAAAAATACAAATTAAAGATGGTTACCATCTTAATTTACATCTTTTCCTGCTTTGCAAAATCTCATGCTCCTTTTCAGTAACCCGTAAGTGAACAGAAAAATAATTGCTGGAGTCCAACGCTACCTTAAAACATCAGCAAGAGGATAGGATTTACACAGTATCTGCATCTTAGTGTCATCTATAGTGCAGGTCTATTTAAAAAGAACTACTGTGTACTACTATTTTGTAGGCAGCATGCCAAATGATTAGAATTCAGTCCTAAACTCCATAATATCAGATTCTGCAGAAAATTAGTTCTGTCACTTAAAAAAAGAGTGAAAACAAAAATACAGTACAAATCATATATTTCTGAGCAAATATCATATACAGTTGCCAGTTGACTATCATTAAACTGCTAAGAAAATAATGGCAAAGAATCTGAAAAAATATATTCATGACAATATTTGAAATCCAGCATTACATATGAAATGGTTTCAAACATAGAAAAAACTCCAAATCTTACTTATTCTGAGCTTACTCAGTTTGCATCGTGTACAACTTTTACAGTGTGTAACTGGATAAGTGTTGATGCATAAAGATGTAATTCACCAGTGTGGATCATAACTAATATTAAAATAAATTAGCAAATATACTGAGATGATACAAACTGTGCATAGAGAGTTCATCCTAATTATACATGACCAGGGAAATTCAAGTAAACAGAGTAATGCTATGAAATTTCCAGAAGAAAAACAAATCTTAGAAACAACACTCTAAATACCTTCTATGAGCAATTTTCTCCTGATATTAGCATTAATCCTATAAACCCACGGGTTGAGGTTAAAAAATAAGATGCTTAAAGGTAAATGATAAAACTAGCAGGTAAAAAAATTGTTCTTCATCATTTATAATATGACAAGCTGCTTTTTCAATTTTCAGATGTGGTCACCTAAGCAGGGATTCTGCATGCTTAACTTTAACTTTCTGAAAGTTAAGTGCTAAGTTAATTATCTATTCCCTTCTATTCAACGCAGATTCTGCTTATCCAATATATTGATTTTAGAAGGAGCCACCTGTCTAAGATACTTGCTTTTATTCAGTCTATCAAGACAGGTTTCTATTTTTCTTTCTCATTAGGAGGGGAAGAATATACACGGCCATCTTAAACCAGCCAGGGAATTTTCAGATGGCTCAAATTAGGTGTGACGAATGGAGTCAGATCAACAAAGGTTTCTACGTGTCTGTATCCCGATGGAAGTTATAGACCAAAATGTGTTTGTCCCGTTAGAGTACAATCTAGTGTCCCACAAAACTCACAGAACTACTCTTGCTGTGTTTGGCAAGCACAAAACCAAACCCTCATACAGATCATCTACCGCCTGCATTTGTACTGGACAGTGTTAGGATGCAAATTGTAATTTACAGCAAATATGAGCACACAGGTGTAGGATTTGATCCATCCTCTTGAGTTTCCCATGTGTGAGAAGAAGGCTTGCACTGCGGACACTGTAAACATCAAAATAAGGTGTCTTAACTGAAAGCTGTCATTCTCTCCACTCACGAGCTGAGGACGCAGTATATCTCACTGCTGAAGTTAACTGTTTCACCAGCACAGGCCAGGCAGCATTTTTCCACATGCTCGCTCTACGTCAGCACAGCACAGTCAGCTGCCACACACCCCAGCCCAGCCTTGCAGGAGCCTTCACAACTAAGCAAAAAGGATTTCCAGCAGCGCCGCTGTGGTTGGTTTGCCCCTCCGATGCTCGGGTGCTGGGTCTGCAGAAGCTGTGGCATTGCTCACACAGGAGGCACCATGGCTCGGAGCGGGAGATGGGTTGGCGCTGGCAGCGGAGCCGGTGTTTCGGCATCTTGGCCACGGGATGGGGTGAGCTCTGGTGCCTGCTCTCCCCACGAAGGCATGAGCGGATATAGGTCCTAACTGTGGAGCGGGACAGCCAATATCCACTGTGCTCCCTCCCATGGCAGACTGTAATTGGTCTTGGACTTGTAGCTGCAGGGCGTGCTTCTGGGAGGGAAAGAAAAACAAGCAACATTAAAGTTCAGCTGGAGGAAGTTTTAGCTCTAATGACCTCAGAGGAATAAGAACCCCATATGTCATGTTCACTTGAGAGACGTATAAACTGAGTCAGCAAGAGAGGAGGAACAGAAATTATCTATTATCTTTTTAATTTGTAATGGACTTTAATTTCAGCATTTTCACTGTTTGTTTTATCACCATGCATTAGAGGTATTAATATTACCTCTCCCATGAGAAATGTTATGAATGAGGTAGCACTTTTCCAATAAAACTTTTTTTTATCTCACTCTTAAGATGTTCCCTTTTCTTGGTAGGGGAAAGGGGATAGAGGCTGTAATTTTTCTGATGCATGCTGAGAAATGCTCAGGAAATATCACTTCATATTCAAGGAGGAAAGGGAGAGCACTCAGTGCCCAGAACTGATGGCCTATTAGCCTGTGTCCTTGCAAAATAGTATTCTACAAGGAGAAATTGTGTAGTACTGAGGGGGGGGCTCCCTTATGTCTCAAAACATCAAGAATAAGTGTTTTTAATGGATATTAACCTTTTTTTCCCCACTATTATTGCTCTGTAGGGAGCTGCCATCAGCAGTGACCTACATGTTTTTATGGCAGAAACGCATATTTCAATTGCTGGCCTGAATGTAGATGATGGTTCATTAGCGCTCATCTATCTGCACTGTGACATATTTAGAAAATAAATAATACCTGCCAGAGGGCCTTGCTTGCTTTGCACATGGGTTCAGTTGAGGTCCCTTTTCTTTCCCATATAGTAGTGCAGTAGATCTATTACAGACGAAACAGGGGTGCTGCTTACAGTAAAGTTGCAGCTATCCTTGGAGATAAACATATGTGGGGTCTTGCTTGTGCTGGGCTGGGATATGCGTTTTCTTTGTAAGGCGCTGTCAACCACAAGCCCTCTGAAACTGGGCCAGGATTCAGAGAAGCAAGAGAACTATTTTAAAAAGATATGCTCCTTTTCTACACTTTGTCGGAGGCTCCTGAGCCACATTCCCAAGCTTTAGAGTACAACCATCCAGAACTGTTCCTTTCAAAATTACAGATTTTGAGGAGGGACTGACTGGTGAGGACCCAGCAGGTTAGCTATTCCCATGTGTCTTGGACCTGGGGCTTTATGAGAGACTAGCAACTATCAGAAAGTACCACTTCTGGTACTTGGCATTGGCAACACTACTGATGAGAAGAGTCTTTCCTTAACAAACCTTACTGTGTTGTTAAAGGCACCGTTTCAAATATGAAAGGCTTAGATGTGGAGAAGAAAATGTTTCAGCTCATCCGGGAGGAGAAGCTCGGTTATTTTTTGATGCTGCTGCTGTCCAAAGCACCTTCGAATGCACAGGCGGCAAAGCTGCATCAAGGACAGCGGCCCTGCAGAAAGGGCAGGAGAAGAGGTCACATGCCTGGCTTTATCGCCCCCGGGTCGGCTGTTGCACACTGCAAACAGCGGCTGTGCGTCACCACATGCCTGGCTTCACGCCATCCCCTGCGCGTGCTCATACCGGACTGTAACCTCCAGCAGAGCGCAGCTCTCCCCCGCTCCCGTGACCCACCTCGCGCAGCGCTCGGCAGTGAGAGCCAGACTCATGTCTACGAGGGGACATCAGCCCGCCTGCAATTCACTTCAAGCGTCGTGGCTTGCTGTCAGCACACAGCAGGAATTAGCACCAGCGGCTTCGTTCTTTTGCTTTTAAGCTGCACCAGTGTCAGGTTTGTGTTGTCTGAGCAGAACAGCTCATTGAGGCTTCCTTCAAAATCTTCCACCCTCCCCCCCCCAGTGAGATCCCTGCTGGCGACCCACTGCCTTCTTGGGACGTACTTCATAATGGTGATAAACACATGGCAAAAGAAACTCTCTGTAATCCATTATTTAAAGCTTCCTGATTAACCGGCCCCCTGCTGACAAATACAAACCCCGCTGAAGAATCTGTAGTGTATTTTTTATTTAAATGTAACGGCATAACAAGCTTATGGGGGGGCCTTATCATTTTCATGAAAAGGTAGATCCCGTGGAGCGCTTTTAGCAGCGGCATCGTTCAGCGTTCGGCTCTCGCCTGTGTCCCTGGCGCGGCTATCGCATAGCGCACGGGGACCACCACCGCAGGGCAGATGAGGAGGGCAGCCCACGGGCAGCAGGCGTTGAGCGATTGAGGATGCCGGCCATGAAGCGGAGATAAACCAAAACGCTGCACAAAGTAAGGGGAAAGTAAATAAGCCGGGAGAGGGCAGCTTAGGTGTTAGAGGCCATGACTGCCTGCGGGGCGGATAAGATAGGAGCCTGCACCGTCACCCCATGACCTGAAACACTGGTGGTGACGGAGGAGTGAAGCGCTCTGGGAGGAGTGAATATGCACGGAGGTGGCTGCTTTAACCAGCTTTTGAGTCCTTCCGCGTGCAGGCTGCCAGGTCGCCAGCGGCTCTGCACCGTTCGCAAGGCTGCAGGCACAGCCCAGGACTTCCTGCACTAGGGCTCAGCCGGAGGCGTCTCCCGGTGCTGGGGTACCAGGCAACGAGGCCAGCCGACATAGGGCGAGTTAAAGTGACTGCTGCAGCATCGCTCTGCATGGGGTTCTTTGGCCATCCTGTTTCCACATGTAAACGCCCAGTCTGAAAACATCTCGTAAAAAAAGCCTCCATTCGGAAAGAAAAATATAACTAAAGACTTACCCCAAAACCAAGCAAACTCACTGCTCTGAAAAACATTTAGAAAGTGCAAGCACACTCTTTAAAAACACGCTGCATTTTTAGACTGTTAGCTAATTCTCCGGGCCACGTGTAGGACGCTGCCTGCAATGCAAGTGGAGTATGTCGTCATCCAGCAACGTGGCAAAGTCCCGGAAAGGGAGACGGCCACATGCGCCGCGAGCACTCACTTTGTGGTGCCTCCAGGCTGACGCTCGTCAACCCATCCGTGGTAGCGTAACGCTCTCTCCAGCCTGCCCTTGCCACGGGCGCAGGGCTGCTGCCCCCCAGGGGCCTGCGGCATGGGGGAGGCAGTTGTGCATGGGGCTGTGCCCACCCTGGGAGGGTGAGCGCTGGGCAGGACACGGGGTGGCAGCCGGGGCAAGGAGATGTGGCTAATATTTGCACAGCTCTCCTAAATTGCTCCCTTTCAGTCAACCAAAGAAGTTAGAAATCAGCTGCCCGGTAATCGTGACCCTACTCAGAAAAAGGCATGTTGAAAAACATTGGAAAAACACTAGTCAACAGCAAAATGCCCTCCAGGCATTTATTATTTCTCTTTTCAATCACTATAAAGGCGGAGTTTCACTTGGAAATGTTCCTTACTGTTGGAGCTGTCAGGTCAGCCCTAGCCATGTTCCCTAGGCCTGCTCCGCAGGGTGTGCCTGAAATGTTTTCTTATCTCAAGTAAACAGGACACACGCAGTGCCGCGGCAGGCAGGAGCTTAGCACAGCAGGGATTTGTGCTCCGAAAGATCACCGCTCTGTGCACCGCAGATTAAGCTAGAAGACCAAATATCTGCTGCACATACATAACAAACCCTGTGCAGCTGTTTTCATGCTATTATCATCACGTTACTGTTTCGTGCTACATGCAGGGCCTCAGCCACCACTGTATTGTTCCCATTCTACATTGGTACAACTCTGTTTATGATGGAGTCAGGGATCATACCCTCTGTAGCTTATTAAAATGTTCAAAATCCAAACTATTTTGTAATGTGTATAGTTTACTGACTGAATGAGAACATCTAAAGAAGAACAGAAGTACTCCAACCAGTAGTTACTAGAGACCTTATTTAGATCTTCCTCATAAATGGCAGTAAATAAAATTTCTCTCCATCATCCATTAAAATATTTGTAACCAATAAATCACAATGGACCCAAAATCATTTGATTTATAGGTAAAAAATAAGCATTTCCTACAGGTCAAGCATACAGTTTGATAGTGCTGGATTATTCAGGACATGATACTAGCCTTTAAAAAAAGGCTAGCATATATATTCATTATGTTCCTAGACCCGGAGGTCAAAAGATAGCACTATTGTTGTTACTGTTATCACTATTAGTACCACCACTATACCACTATATTCTGACACTAGAGAAAATAGTTTCTAAATACCAGGAGATAAAACCAACCTTGGCTCTTTTCACAGAATCACAGAATCACAGAATGGTTGAGGTTGGAAGGGACCTCTGGAGATCATCTAGTCCAACCCCCCTGCTCAAGCAGGGTCCTCTAGAGCATATTTCCCAGGATTGCTTCCAGAGGGGTTTTGAATATCTCCAGCGCAGGAGACTCCACAACCTAAAGCTCTTCATTTTTGTAGAGTTAATAACATGGAATAGTGTATCGTTTTGTGATAGCTTATTTTTTCCACATAGAATCCCATTTGAAGGGATAACACAAATATTAAGGGGCACCTTCTTTCTGCAGAAAGAGTTGACTCAGGGGGCTGCTCGGAGGAACCAGCTCCATCGGCCTTTTTCTGTCCGCGTTCTTTGCCCAGATGTCTGCTCCAAAGTCGATCAGCAGCGTCACCAGCTCGGCATTGCAGTTCCTGGCAGCCACGTGCAGAGGGGAATCCAGGCCCTTGCCATGATTCACGTTTGCCCCTGAACACAAAGAGACAACAAAGAATAGTGACAATGTAGGAACCCCTTTACAGCTCCCGCACTAGCTGCTGTTTCTCTAAACAATCGGTAAACAGTATAGCATCTACTCGGAGGTGGGTTTCCACACTTTGGGGCAGGGTAGCTCAGCTTGCAGTGGGCTGGGGAGCAATGGGGTTGTGACTAAGGAAATCATCTTGGAGGAATGGTGCATGGGGAAGTCCAAAACCTGTTCATCCACAGCCCAGACCACAGGTATCCTGAAGCAGGACAAAGATGTATTTCCACCTGAGGTCCTCCTCTACTCCCCAACCCATTGCCCCATTCCCTTAAATCATTGCAGAGTTTCAACCAGCTGTCTACTGGAGGCCTAGACCAATGGGATTTCCAT